GTACGTACGTACGTACGTACGTACGTACGGTACGTACGTACGGTACGTACGTACGTACGTACGGTACGGTCGTAGTGNGGGGGGNGNGNGGGGGGGGGGGGGGTGGGTTTGGAAATATCAAGAAACGTATATTATAGTACAAATATATGAAACGAATAACCTGGAATGAGGAATACTGTGATCCTACAACTTGCAGGCTCACAGCATTAATTGTTACGTATGCCCCCGTTCACCAGTCGTTGGTGAACACAAGGAGTGCAAAGTAAAGTTGTCGACTACTTTAGTAATAGATGCTCAAATGAGTTAAACCGTGTGCCCTCCGTATGAGATTATACTTATCCGTAGTTCGTGGATCTTTCGCGCATTGTTCAGCTGCAAACCAATGTCGAGTAGCAAGAACCAGCTAAACTGATACTGGACAGCATATATGCAATTATACATTAGGTAAAAATATCTAGCAAACGGAAGCATTGTCCATTAAAGGTGTCGATTATTTTATTGACGGATATGCTCATGGTTTTGAACTGTGTACTCAATGTATGAGATCATTTTGATAACCACGCATTATTAGACTGATAGGAAATAAGATCAGCTTGACACATCGTGGACAGCATATGTGAAGAATACTCATGTCAAACTATCTAACAAATGAAGACGTTATCGTTAGAAATTTGTCCTTTCACACTCAACTTCGAGCAGCTTTTGTTAGTAGATTGACTTGAATGGTTCAAATGTCTGGTTGTTCTCTCTCCAAATACCCCAGGCAGTGTCCAAACTCGGGTACATCGACAATATTAGTATACGGTCCCAATTGTACCATTTTGCGTTCTTCGCCAGTCAGTTGTAGATGAACTTGAATTCAATTTTCTGTTTGCCACCACTCTACTGTAGATGAGACTGATAGATTTGAACCCTAGATACTGATAAATCGGAAACATAGGTAAAAATAAACACGGTTTTAGGCATACATCCATTTGTTCCCTTTTAAATTATATGTATTGATTTTAATGTATAAATTCAGGAACTGTTTATCCTAGTTTAACTGAATTATTCACATTGACTACAACACCCACATATGTACATTAAATCACCAAAAACCATCAAAATTAATTTCATGCCTGTACTTTATGTCCTCAGCGCGCCATTGCGACTATTATTTCAGAGCAGTAAAAAATCTGAAGAATTTGCGTGAAGCGACGAAGCGCCGCTGTACCGTTACCAATAAGTTGTCTACGAAGTTAGCCAAATCAATGTGATATTGAGTATCGCCTGTAAGTGCTATGAACTAATAAGAATCTATTGATGCACATGTGGATAAGTTTACGTACTACTTCGTATACAAGCGTTTATCGATTTAAATACAACAGAGCCGTTTTGATTAACAATTGCGGTGATTCTACGGCACGAAAAAAGATGAGATAAGGGCATATAGATTTGCAGACAATTTCATCTAGAAATGACCAGGGTCATATTACAGTGTCTATTCTTTATATGAAGTTCACATATTGGCTCCTTTTTGCCACTGCTCATATCGAAGCTTGGGATGCTCGCTATCAAAGTCTTCTGGCCACCCACTACGCGTAGATTAACCGTTACAAATTTATCGAGCTCGATATGATGGCTCGTTGTACGTAGATTATAATCGAATCACGTTCAACCGCTCATTTCTACTATGTCGATGTGTGTCATTGTCATGATTGACGTGTTTGATTGTCCACCACATGGGGGTGGTTTCCTGTTATAACATAAATAGCCTACAACGCTTGATATCGGCATTGTGACAGTATATGATTACACCTTTTGGTATGTTCGGGTACTTTTTGGTCGTGAAAATGTGCTCGTTAGATTACCAAGCTGCCTTCAAGAGCCCGGTCTGTGTTATACTGAACCATTAACCTTGATGCACGGAGTAGAAAGTCGGTTTCACTTGATGAATGTTCACCATGGTGACAAATAACATCTGTAGCTAGGATTGTAGGGCATATTCTTGCCAATAATGTGGTGCGATGACATATTTTTTAATTTTATATAGTGAACAACAATCGATAAAATTCTGATTCGTCGATGAACTTCAGCAACGCATCTGCCTTTTTTCTTTCTTCCTCGATATTTAGAAGCATTGAAAACAATGGATGCGATACGACTATACTTAGGACTATATGTAAGAACTTCTCGATCGTGATTGAAATATATTTCATATTACTTATTGATTTACGTGAGCTTGAGGCCCGATTGTGACATGTCAGTTTACCTTTTCGTTTCCTCCACTACTCCACATATATGAACTCACCGAAACCTTGGCAATCGCGGTCGATTATCCGTTGTTTTAAACTCTGTGGTTGTTGTGAAATAGTAGTGACTGTAGGGATATACTGTATTTGTACAGTTTTATCATTATATCGATTCGTCTATATATCTAAAACCCTAAAACCATGCTATTGTCGTTGCATATCAAATAAATGTGATCTCTAATCTCAATTCTGCTCTTTTGCTATATCCCAAATCGGTAAATGGTGACAGGTCACACGTTCATGGTAATCTGGCCGGAAATTGCATACTTACTGCAGCCTCTCAAACAGAATGGAGAGGCCATGAGCTTTAATAGAGGAAAGTTTTATTCACCAGTCAGCGGACGTCAGACTGTCACATTACTTTAAAATTGTTCGCGCAACAAAATACCGCCAGCTGATCATTTTGCACTTAATCAATTACAACCAGTAGTCCATAGGTGAGAAGGCACCCTTTAGCTGTATTCGATACCTGTCAATGTTAAATAACTGGCACGGGCTTGGCTTGCTGGAGTTCCAGTAAGATAAGACAATGTGTACAGCGATTCACATATGAGATAAGCTGCAACTAAGAATAACTGAACTTTTAACTTTGACAGGCATCAGTATACCAGGTTTCTGTACTTGTGATGTATCCAAATACCCGCAATGTGGTCACGTGGTCGTGATGCGCGTCCTATTCATTTCTAATACTTATCTATACGAATTAAACTACTTTTCAAAAGTTATCTAGCACCCAAACACTGTCGACCCCCATCGATAGCAATGCATTCCCCAGTGATAAATTTGGCCTTGTCTCCTGCTAGGAACGCGACGAGCTCACCGACTTCTTCAGGCTCACCTAGCAAAATGTATCAGATACAACGGAATGTCGTAAGTACATACATCGGCATTTTTCTCCAGTGTTCGATTGTACGGCAACGTACGTACCTGGCGGCAAACTCGATAGTATCCCAAACTTCAGTAACAAGTATAGGTTCACACTCACGATTATAATTGAGCAATTTTCCGATTGATATCGAGCACTTATATATGGATGTATTCGGAGCATATACCGAACGTACACCTTCTCTGGAAAGAGTCTTGTACGTACAGTATGTACATTTATGTATAAGTACGTGTTCCTTGCAAATTGTGGATATCAATATGCGCATAGTTACAAATAGAATGCAATTAAATCATCCAACTAAAACCTCAATAATACAGATGTATGCAACTTACAACTACGCTCAACAGTTATCTCTACTGGCAGTTGATCCACGCCGTGCAAACGTGATGCTATGCCGAGTAACGAATCTACCACAAACACCACTGCACATCCGGTACACACATACCAACGCGACCGAGTGCCTTCGCGATCGGATGTGTGTAATTAATCGTCCGTTCCAAGAATTTCTCATAAGCCTCATTGCTCATACCGCCTCTTTGTTGCAGTGGCGTGCGTATGACCCCAGGATTTACCCCAACCACTCGGATGCCATCCGGTGCCAGATCAACGGCCGCACAGCGTGTCAGTTGGTCAACCGCAGCTTTCGACGCACAATACGTGGCTACCCCACCAGCGCTCTGAAATGTATGGAGTGAAGTGTAATCTGAGACACGTGGGTGTGCAATAACTCAAAGGTGGTGTGAGGAGATGCACGAGTCTTGATGGGAGGTTTGTGCGACGTGTGTGACATACGTGAGGTGTGTGGGAACGACTCGCGAAGATTACCTCGATAGCAATAGAGGTTTATGGCGGTTGTGTGGATCCGCATGGATTGTGTGTAGTGTGTTTCAGCTTGAGTTACATGCAGAGATCTTGAGACGGAAATAAGTTGACCAGAAAATTTTCAACTTGTGCATAGCCAGCCAATCACGTATAAAAGAGGCCATGAGGTTATTCGCACTTGTACATGATCTTTCAACATACGCATATGCACGTACCTGTTTGCCATTGACACTGCTTATGTTGATGATGCAAGGGCCGCTCGCAGCACCTGGAAATGGTAATAGCAAGCAATGATCAGAACCACTCCCACTGTATTGCACACTTTCACAAACGGCTAGGCAGTTCTTAAATGTCAGAAAGTAAAGCCAAATAAAATACCAATGGACTCAAAACAAGCTACAGGGGCAGCTGTAGCAGGTTTTTGTCACTGGAAGGTCAACATACTTTTTTTGGGTCACGAAAAGCTAGTTTATAGGGTTTTGACAAGGAGCGAAAAGGATGCACCGAGTGAACGGGCTAGTCGCATCTCATAAGCGTACCAAAAAAGGTATATGCAAAATAATGCTCTGCTTTCTGGGTGCATTGAACTTGCTAAGAAATCTTGCACCCTTCCAAATCAGCCACCACACTAAGATTCGCGTGAAATACGTTCACATCAATTTTGGCGAACAACAACCAAGGACATCCAAATTCAAACCAACCCAGTCGTATTGTAATGTAAAACTAAGTAGCCAGATCTGGGGCGATGTCTGACGTTGTATAAAGTGCCATAGACACCCTACGGCTCGCGAGTGAAGTGAGTTGGTTTGCTGCCGTGTACGAATATATGCAAAGCAACGAATGTTCTGCGCATTCAATCTTGGATATAAAAGCAGCAAGAACCGTATGTGTACTGTGCTGCGAGATTTATGAGGTCTCTAAAGCCAGCACACACATGTTGCTATGGACAAACGCATACAAATATACCCTCGACAAAAAGAGAAAAGACTACACTCATAAGAAACACTTGGGCGACGATAGACGAACCTGCTTTGCGTAGATGTGGGATGGCATGCTCCATCACTTCGAAAGTGGATTGGACATTTCCGCGGAAATTGAAAAGATAGTTGTCCAATGAAACCGAACCCATCGCCCCAGCCTACATAGATGCAGATATTCAAATCAGCGGCATATACACTGCACTTGTAGGTGTCAAATAATCAGATATAAGGGGCTAGATCAGGTTTGCATGTAATTCGCGAGTAGCTAGACTCTGCGTGCTGCACTTTTCGCTTATAGCATATCGGGTCAACTATACAGCCAGCGCGTTTTGTAAGCACAATATACTGTACGAAGTAATCCAACCAAGAACGCAGAAGGCAATGACGCGGACTAAGTTATTGGACTCATGTACAAACACATAACCACGAGGGCGCTACACATTTTGGAATGCGTGAGATAAGGAGAAAATACTAAGATTATACAAAAGCAGCACACCGACATCGAGGTGTCTGGCTAGGGTACAACACAACTATACTATGGAAGGCGATGGTCGAGACCTGTCAAGGGTCAAGCTCAACAGCCATTGCGAGGCACCACCATCCACGACTGAATTATCATACAATTGAATAGGAAAGCAGCGTACGCGTACCACCGCCTATCCAGTACAACTCCAGGCTAGGGTACAACACAACTACACTATGGAAGGCGATGGTCGAGACCTGTCAAGGGTCAAGCTCGACAGCCATTGCGAGGCACCACCATCCACGACTGAATTATCATACAATTGAATAGGAAAGCAGCGTACGCGTACCACCGCCTATCCAGTACAACTCCAAAACATCATGTAGATAATTCTACTTCATTTGATTACTCTGATTTGAGGAATGGCTCAGTAGTGCTGTGGTTAAATACTGAGGCATTCAGCCTGCCATCTACCCAACACATTCCAACCAATAGGGCTCTAATGAATCATCGTTTACTTAGGTTGCACTTGTACAGTGAAATGACAAGTAATCACATCATCAATCAATAGATGACAACTCACCTCCCACCCAGCACAATGCTACAATTGAATGAGAGTATCATTTGCTGCTAACATACCACTAGGACCCCCGCGCAGTTGATCACCGTTGTGAGTCCACCAAGCTGTTCCACAGCCTCTCGCACTATGCGCTCACACACTCCATCTTGACACAAGTCACCTGTGAGTATTCGAGACACACACACCCATAGTGGTCACAGATAATGGTCACGATAAGAAAATGCATATATGCAGGTTGTAAAAAAAAATTGTCGTGCCCACATAGCGGGAAACATTTCTTATGAAGTGGGAAATATGTGGTACGAAAAAACATCCATTCGCATTAGGGTACGTATGTACATCAAACTGCAAAAAGAAGGACTGGTAATCCCAACTGAATATGCGATGCAGAACTGGGATGCATTGCAACCAAAAGCTTCGCTGCTCCCAAAAACCTAGTACAGACAACCATGGGCATCGAGCCATGTCCTTAGCAAACTGCAACACTGGCAATAGCAACGACAGGCTTCTTGACCTACAATACGCTTAATATTGTTGCATTTGATTTTCGAACGCACACATACCAACTACATATCCTAAGAGATCCCCGTCTGCTTTTAATTGAGCCAGAGATTCTTCGTTACGACCGGTTCCAACAACCTTGGCACCTACATGGCGGAAAATAGCAGCCATAAAAAAAGACCATGAGCAAGAAGACACAACTAATTTGCAAAACTATATAAAAATCATAAAAGCGAAAGTGAGAAAAATTGAATAAAAAAGATTACGTTTGCGTTCGAACACACATGCATGTTTAACCTAGCATCATATTTATATAAATATATACGTCCAAACACACACATATACATATATATACATACATACATACACACACACACACACATATATATATATATAAATGTTTATATATACATACATACATAAATATACATACACACATAAACACACACACACACATATATATATATATATATATACGTGCATACATACATATATATATACATATATATATATAATAAAACATATATTTGTATGTGTCATCGTGTTGATCCGTTTATGTTTACACACACAAATATATACACACACATATATATAAATATATGTATATATAAATCAAATATATACAATTAGAAATATTTATATATTAAATATATACACACACATATATATATAAATATATATATATGGGTATGGATAGAGATAAAGAAATATACAGATACACACATACATACACACACACACTCATACATATATGTATATACGTGTGTGTATAAAAGTATATCTATATGTATGCATATATACATACGTACATATATGCATATATACTTACATATATATCTCTATGCATACACTCATAAATACAAATACATACAAACATTCATACATACATACATACATACACACACACAAATATATATATATATATATATATAGAAATATATGTATCTCATCATGCCAATATAGATATATACATACTCATGCATAAATACATACGTATACTTATACAATATATATATATTTATATATATATATATATATATATTGGATAAGTATACGTATGTATTTATGTATGAGTATGTATATAAATATATACATATACAAATACATATACATAATACATATATATATATATATATATATGTATATAACCATACATATATTTACGTATATATATATATATACTTAGATACATACATATACATATAGATATTTAGATATATATATTCACACATACATATACATTTGTATTAAGAGACATAGATACATACCTACATATACATATATATACATATATATATATANANACCATATATATATATATATATATATATATATATAGGATATATGTTCAGATACATACTCATACATAAATATATACGTATACTTATACAATATATATATACATATAAACACACACACACATATATATATATATATATAACCATACATATATTTACGTACATATATATATATATATATATAGATACATACATATACATATGGATATTTAGATACATATATGCACACATACATATACATATACATATGTATAAAGAGACATAGACTACATACCTACATACCTACATACCTA